TATTATTATTATTATTATTATTATTATTATTATTATTATTATTATTATTATTATTATTGAAAGTACGATAGAAGAAACAGTACTATACAGTTTATATAATTTTAATTTCTAAAAAGAAAATTTAGCATAATTATTTATTAAATGGTAATTACTGAACAAGTACATAGAACACTACAAAAATTTTTTCGTCTGACTCCTAAAAGTTGCACATTCAGTTTAATTGTTCTGCTATAATGAATAAATATGTATATTTATCATTATATGCAAAATTTCGGACCTGCAAGTTTTGTACAACGTCTCATTCTTACATTTTCACATCAGTCATATATTATGTTTTAAAACAACAGTTTCAAACTATGATATTATGTGAATAGAAAATTCATGCAATGTACACGAAAAGTCATGCTCTTTTAGTACGGACATGATGGAATCGAGAAGCTTCAGATCAGATAGTTTCCAATAAGTTTCATGAATGTCAATCGAGAAAATTCAGATTGTCTTTCAGCTGCTGTTTACACAGAAATAATCGGTGCTGTTCGAACAATAACTGAAGATAGTTTTCACTATACATATGCATTAATAGAAGACATGCTGAGCATAATTTCACTTACTAGCAATTATTTTTATTTGTTTAGAATTCTACGAAGTTTTATGCTTGAGAAGTGCATTATTAACTCATTGATGACTTAAAAAATGTTCCATGTTCAATCGTTTCGACATTCACGGAAGAGATTTATCTAGATCAATACCAATCTTCTATACAACATTATCACTAATGATCAATTATAGTTATTTCGTCAGAATAGAAAATAAGAAACGTAGTTGAAGATTCAACTGTTATAAAACAATCCACGAGCAGTCAAAGCTCATCAAAACAAAAGTTCAGAGAAGTGCATCATACCATTTTTTTTTTCTATAAAATATATTCTAACGTGACCCGTATCACTGGGATCTAGTAGATAGAAGTTAGCTTATCAATAGCTATCTAATATAAGTTTTCAAACTGCATGAAAACAGAAATAAAACAATAGTATTTGATGTCTCAGCTTTCATTATTGCTGTTTAAAATCATATCGAAGTATATGTTGATCAAGCATTTCCGTAGATCTAAACCCACTGCATGGCTGCCTCTCAAAAAATTATCTCAAGCTCTACCTCATGACCTATTTGAATCAAATGGACCAATGCACTGTTGATGAGGAGTGAAACTTTGAAGAAGAACACAAAAGCCGACATTTAAATATTTCTTCGAAGAGTTAGCAACCAAACTTTTGTAATGCTTCTTGTATATCGAACGAGTAGCAGCAATTGATACTGGACAAACAGAGATCGGATTTAGTTAACTAATATGACGATAAAAAAAAATAGTTTTGTGACATTCGAATAGTTCTCTTTGTAAATGTTTTTTTTTCGTTTTTTTTTCTCAATAGATGAGAAAAAAATACGATACAATTCTTTTGAATTTCAAGACTAGCAACATGAGACAGAAAAATATGTCTTTTAAAAGTAATCTCTTCTGACACATTTATATTAAAAGTCATCAACGAAATGAACTCGAACTATTTTATTTTCGAAAAAAAAAACAATTGATGAATCTTTTTTTTTGTGACTTGTATGTTATGTTTTGTTTTCTCTCTAAGATATTAAACAAATTGCCATTGTTGACCAAGATAAGTATCATCACGTCTACCTAAACTAACGTGCATTTGATCATTTTCAGCAACTTGTAAAAACATGTAATCCAGTTGTCCAATTGGTCTTGCTCGTGTTTTAATTCTAAAATAATTTTTTTCACCTGTTGGAATAATATCCCAATGTTGTGTTTGATCATCATTAGATTCTTGCATTTCCATATTTACTTCATTACGTGTATTAGTTATACCAAGTACTTTTCCAGAAGGTTCAGCAAATAATTTAAAATAACCATTATCAACTTTTTCTACACGAAGTGCAATTTGAACTATTTCATATAAACGATTAGCTGCACTATAGCGATGATTTGATTTAAAATCTAATTGATGACCTGAACGATTTTCGAAATGATTTATGATAGAAAAAATAATAAAAGAAAATAGAAAGCGTACGTAGAAGAGCATCATGACATGATTGATAACATTCTTCATTTGTTGAAAATCTATTTCGATTACCTTGCATACCACCATAAATAAATTTCATGCATGTTTTATTACTTGCCTGCCAAGCATAAACTTCAAAATAAGCACGACCTAGCCCAGTATCAGCTCGTTCAAAACAATCAAAATCGGCTATATCTATTTGTAATAGTTTCAATGAAATGATCGATTACTCAATTATGTACTCACTCGAATATACACCAGACAAGCCGAGCAATGAAACGAAAACTATGATTAAAGTAGATATCATTTTGGTGTTATTATCAAACTTTTTATTCAAAAGTAATATTTTTCTCTTAAAACACTCGTATTTATTTTTCTAGTTTTGCTGATGGGATTATTAACCATCTGTTCGTTGTACTTTAATCTTTTCTGATTTTTTTTTTATTGTTTTTATAACATTCGGGATATTCTGTCATACAGTAAACTGTTTTTTTTTATTTTCTTATCAATTTTTTCTATAATTAACGTCGTCCAGGCATCGCCCAAAGACCTTGTAAATTATGTCCATCTGGTGAATTTTCCAATTCAGATAGAAATTTTTTCTTTCGTTGTTCAATACCAACACGAGAAATTTTACGAAAATTTCTTCTTGGTTTATATATTATCGGAAGAAATTGTTCAAGTAGATCATTTTCATTCATGTTGTTGTTATTGACATAGTTGATTTTATCTAATTCTTCAATATCACTCAAGTCGATTGATGGACCTCCCCATATACCGGATGAATATTGATGTTGTGCCCAACATGAAACAAGCATCTAATAGAAAACAAATAATATTAATGCTACTGAAATTATGATTACAAAACGTTACAACTCATGGAAAGACTTTCTTCTAGAATGGACTAACCTGTAAAAGTAGCCAAAGAACAATCATTGATTTGTAATACCGCATAATATTAATTGAAGTAGAAACCGGTATATATGTTGAGATGACTATGTGCTTTTTCTGGTGAATGTACGTGTTAATAAATAGTCTACATAATGTACCGTCAAAAAAAAAATAATGGTCAATCTTTCATTCTCTCTCTCTCTCTCTCTTCAGTATTTGAAAATATAGTTTATAGGGAAAAAAAATTCAAAGAATATCAAATAGAATTGTCTATTATGCCGTAAGTGCACTTCGTTTTTTACCGTTGACGCCTTGAAATGTAAAATACAAACGGCAAAAAACAATTATAGTTTATTCATCTTCATTTCGTTCGTCTGTAATACTTCATTGAACTAAATTACCATTAACATTTTATTTCTTGAGGTAAAAGCAATTATATGTAAAAAATAAATCGATTGAAAAAAATGGAAATTTTTTCTGAAAAAATAAATGCCTAAGTACAATTTTTTGACGTAGCTAATATTTTTTCAAAAAACACAAAATCTTTTTAGTAATTACAACTATTGTTAGACCTTATGAATACTTTATCGGATGATGCTATTAATTTTTAACTTATTAAGCGGATTTACTTCAGCTTAGCATCGTGCAATATAAATGAAAAATGAATTTTATTGTATAATATATGAGCCTTAAAAGATTATATTGATTCATTAAAATATTTTATTCTATTAACTAATCATAAATTGAGAAAGTAAGAAAACAGAAGTTATTATCTTGAAAAAAAAAAGATATAATCACAAGTGAACATCAAATATTGTGGTATATCACTTGAACTTGATGTGTTATTTAACAATTCATTTAAAATGATTCACTCAAAATTAATAAGAAGATTCCAATCTATGTATTAACCTTCTTCTCTCACCTCTCGCAGAACAAAAGGTCATGGCTTTCTATCAGTGTCCTGCAATGGTACCACTTTTCTCACTCGAATCCAGACCGAAGCTAACCGACATTCGGCAGACATTTTTCACAGTCATAGTACAATTTTCAAAATTTTACTTTATATGAAAAAGTATACTGTTTAGTTTTTTCCATCAACAGCAACAAAAAAAAAAGAAAGAGATCATCTTAAATTCCACAAACAAAGCAAATGAGTCAGGATTCACTTGGTGTCTTTCTGCTTCTGAAATCCGATCAATTTCGCTACGTATACTATTGCTTATTACTGATGAATCTGAAATAGCACACGGTATTGTTGTCAAACATCATATTTGTGGATACATGCATCAATGCTTTTTCCATCACTTCTCGAAAGATTGCCTTCTAGTGTGGGCCAGTCTTTTGCCTACATTTATCTAGAAAATCAAGAGTTTTTATAAAACATTTCTGGTATTCAAATAGATATCTTTAGAAACTAAGTACGAGAAAATCAAGATTTTTACTTGGAAAAACGCGTTGTTTTTACTAGAAAAAACAGTCATTTTAATTACAAAAAATGACTTTTTACTATGCAATCGGGCTTTTAAGTGTTAAACATTCCAAACACGCTGGCTTTCCGAAGAAAGATTTTTAGAAAGCTTATAACTTGCTTGTAAAACTTTTCTTGTGATTGGTGTTATTTTCAGAGCGGGGACCTATTTCTAAAATGCTTAGAAAATACAAGACATTAAGCACAATTATATCAGAGCTAATGTAGCAATAAATAATTCTTAGTTCAATATGATCAGAAAAGATGGAATATTTTTCAAGGTAATGTATAAAGATTAAATTTCAAGGCTAAATTTGAAGAAAAAAATGATAATTCTTTTTTATTGATCAAAGGCAATTGATTGCAATAATGATTCAATGCAATTCATTGCAGGCTACTCATTAAATACCTTTATAATACTTGAAATTGAGAATTATTTTGCAGGAATTTACTATTTATTTTGAAGTGAAGAAAATAAATGATCGATCAGTATGCGTTTTATTATGTTTGAGACACATCAAATTTTTATTGATATTCCATAAGAATTCATATTTTAACGGTTAAATTTCTTCATACAAAATACAGACTGACTTTTCAATTCTGATGCATGATGACGTTTCAAATATTTTTATCATGAACATTTATAATTGATACTTAATCTTTTCCAAAGTCAAGAAGTGTGAGCTGATTTCGGCAGAAAAACATCGAAAATCTTTGGAAATTGAAGGTAGCATTCCGGATCGGAAATTCTCCGATTTCTTCCGGGCAACTTCCTGTTCCTTCCAACTTGATATACTTCTTCCATGTTCCATCGATTTCCGGTGTTTTTCTGTCGGATGCAATGATTTTTTCCGTGTATTTCTTGTCGGTTCCTCTCATTTGTATTCATGATTTCATGATGCCTATCAACACCAATAAAACTAAAACTTTTCTTAACATTTCTCTATCAAATAACTATCCCAGATAACTTGAGTTAAGTTATCTGAAGCTAATCAGTTAAAATTTACATTTCAGAAACTCCAACGAAATCAGAAGAAAGCGTTTGTACTATACTAATATGATTTTCTATTGAGGACGATTCTGATCAAATTACAACATCATTTTCGATATCCGATATCAATATCTATACGTTGCTTCTCTCTATTTCCTTCCACCAATAAAGTCATTTGAAATTTATTTTCGGCACCATTGCCATACTGACAGACCGTCATTCGCTTATTCCTTCTGAGGACGCATTCTACAAATGATGATCAATACGATTCTGTTAAGTGTAAGCTAGCATGAACATTCACAAATTTCATGTAACTAATAAATGCATTCTAGATTGTTAGCAAATTAGGGCTTTTAGTCTAGGTAAAGTATGAGACGAAAACCTCATAACAATTAATACGATATTGAATCACATTATCAACCTAAAATCCTCTTTTACTCATATTTCATTTCTCTTTAAATTGAATGTCTCTCTATCTTGAACTAAATAGAAAAATGTTTTTCGTATTAAAGACGACTATCTACATGTATGCACTCACGAGAGAACATTCCCAACTGGCACATCGCTTTTGAGGCGACTATATGCGTATCATGTAGATCCCAATGATCTATGAATATTCTGAAAAAAGTTGGTGTCGCTAGCTTATTACTGCCTGAGATATTGCATTTTTACTGTATGTATAAGCAAAAAACAGTGGTTCCACTCAGAAACGCTAGGAGAACTGAGTTTCGAATTTCAACTTGAAACTTTGTATAGGGACAAGTCTCAACGAGAATAGTTTATTGTAAATGTTTCAGATCTTTTGACTGCTCCTAGTCTGAAATAAGAACATCGGAATCTGCTGGTGTGTATAAGCTATTTTACTATAGCTGTATCTTAGGATAGGAACAACGAAAAGATCTGAAACTTTCACAATAAACTATTCTCACTGAAGCATATCTCTATGCAAAGTTTCAAGTCGAAATTCGAAACTTAGCTTTTCTAACATTTCTGAGGGAGACCACAGCTTTTTTTCTTAAACATACGGTAAAGATGCAATATCTCGGCAGAAATAAGCTAGCGACACGAACTTTTTTCAGAGTATTCATAGATCATTAGGGCCTACAGGATGCGCATACGCTCGACTCAAAAGCGATGTGACAGTTGAGAATGTTCCCTCATCAGCTGAATTAACATTTACTCCAAGACGAACACGTTTATCACCAGGTCATATTGATGATATATTGTTTATTCGTTCATATGAGAAATTCAAGAACAAGCAGTAAAAAGAAAACTTAATCCTTTCTCGTTGTCATCTATTTATACTGATTAGTTTGTGAGTTCTGTAACCTTATTTTAGTTCTCTTATTCTTTTTTGTTCGCCTTATGGATGTCAAGTTGTTTTTTTCATGTCATTTTTGCTGAAAAATATTTGGTAAGATTTATTAACACGATTGTTGTAAATGATTTTTATATAAACAGTAATTCTATAAGATTTCACATCGTACTTCATATTCATACAAGTTTTTATTCTTGTCAAATATATAACGAAATGATCGTCCTATAGGACGAACTTTTTCATGCCGTCTCCTGCGTCCCGTGAAACAGGAATTCAGCGGACAATACATTTTGATTCTCTTTTCCCTAAAATAATTAAAGATAGATTGGAAGATAAAAGAACAAAAGGTATTTTTTCTAAAGAAACCATGACATAAGTTAAATTTTATATTTTGCCATTAAAAAAAATTCATATAATTATCTTGGAAACAAAGTGTACTGTTCTGCAAGAAATGTAGAACAACGCGTATATCGAAAGCAGCATATGTTCTGTATGTTGTACTTCTATTTAGTAAACATGCCACTAAAAACAAATACTGCATGATATATTTATTTTGAATGGTCTGTTATATTGACTAATGATAATCTAATAAAAGAATTTTATTACAAAAAAATTATATTCTTTAGCTTCAAAAATAAAACTTTTTTTCCTTAGCAAATTCAATGTTTTTTTTTTCTAAATTTTTTTTTTATTATAATCAATATTTAGCGTTACATCCAATCAGAACAAACTAGCGCTAGTATAGCCACATAAACTAAAACATGTCGATCTGTTTTTTTTGCTTGCGAAAAAAAATCGCCTGAGAATCTGCAGGATTAGAAAAACTTTTTTCTTTTATTATTTGATAGATTTAAAATGCCAGAACCATCATCACAAGAACATATTTATGGATTAAATAAATGGTCTGATCTTGGTTATTCCACAATTGATATGCTTTATTTACGACCTGTTCGATGGTTTCATCGAAATATAGTCGAACGTCTTCGTGGTCCATCTTATCCATATTTTCATCGTAAATTTGGTCCTGTTAAAACAATAGATGAATGTGAAATTCAAGATCAAATATGTTTTTATGAAGCTGAAATGGCTTATTTACGTGAAAAACGTGTTGATACAATGATCGTAGAAATTCTTCATGATCGTTTAACACGTTGTGTTGCATATGAAGGTCGTATTGATGCATTAGATAAATGTGCTAAAGAAAAAGATGCTTTATTTGAATCACATGCTAATTGGTATCAAAAATATGGTGAAATGGGTGTACCACATAGTTGTATTGATGCTTATATGAAACAAAAACATCTTATGATATGGATGCGTCGTCATCCTGAAGTTGATCTTAAAGGATGGGCAACTGAACGTGATTATGAACGTAGAACAAAGGATTATATTAAGAGCATTCCCATGCCTATGGAAATTCGATAGACTTAATAAACTTAAACATCATCCTGTCCGTTTGTTTTTCTCCCTTGTTAGACTATATATTACGACTTGTATTTTCCTTCCTACCTTTTTCTTTTTTTTTGTATAAACACATTTATCTCCGTGCATCAGTATGGAAAAAAACAATTAGTTATGCTGTCTTTTTTTTTCTTTTCTCTTAATTTGATTTCTAGAATGAAACAAATTGATACGTCAGTATCAACTACAGATCATTTTAATCGATTTACAATTGCATGTAATATATTGATTTCGATTGTTGGTGGTCTAATTGTTAATCGTTCAATACCAATATTAAAAGATAAATTTATTCGTGCTCAATTATGGGGATATGATTTGAATAAAAGAAATTCAAGAGAAATAAAAATGTAAGTTAGATCATGGAGACTGATAAAAAAAAATCTGTATGTTAATTTTTCTAGTGCAGAATCTCAAAGTGTTATAGCAGCTGATATTTTTCTTATTTTAATGTTTATTATGATTGCTATTGTATTTTCAGAACATTTACATCCACAAAGTGATTTTCCACATAATAAAGTAAATAAATTTTTTTTCTTCAAGAAAACTGAATTATTTTGTTTTTTTTTTCGCGTTTTTAAAGTTTATTGAATATTTAGCTGCTTTACTTTCAATATGTTGTATGGTTTTACTTGGTTTTGCAGACGATGTACTTGATTTACGTTGGATTGTGAAATTATTATTACCGTTAATTGCATCTTTACCACTTCTATTAGTTTATTTTGCTAATTATCATTCAATAACTATTATTCTACCAAAACCAGTAAGATCAATCTTAGATCATCAATGGAATCTTGGTAGGATAGAATATTTGTCAAAGGTGTAATCTTTGTTGATGTTGATATAGGCATTCTATAGTATGTTTATATGAGTGTGGTAGCCGTATTTTGTACAAATGCAATTAATATTCTAGCTGGTGTTAATGGACTTGAAGTTGGTCAATCTATTGTTATTGCAATTTCAATACTTATTTTTAATTTTATTGAACTACAAGGTTTGAAAACGATCTTCAATTAATTGGACAAAAACTATTCAATAAATGTTTTATCAATAATTGAATCTTACAATTTTTACGTTAAAATAATTTATAATATCTATTATAGAAGTGAATGTTGTTTTATTATTATGATTAAATAGAGAAAATCTCAAATATGTTTAAACAATTGTTATATACAATATTTTCTAACCAAAGTCAATTTAATATCACTTCAACTCGATATGAAAACATCATTTAATAATATTAATCAATGTTTAAATTCTGATTCTCATTTTCAATCAAAGATAAATTTTAACCAACTTGAATTATATTGTTTAACTCTACGTCGTTTATATATTCATCTTGATGATGGTTTATCTTTTAAGCATCTTATTGAACATATTCCCAATCTTGAATAATTATCAGTTTATCTACAAAACCCATTGATCAATAATTTTTTCTCTGGTTTAAATATACAAACATTGATTTTATCAAATAGAAATTGGTTTAATAAAGTAAGACATTACTTAAGTCGAAATTCGTATAAAGAAATCTTTTGTTAAGTCTTATTGTCTCACGTTTATTTTAGTTGATTTAAAAAAACATTACGATATTTTGTAGTCGAAATATAAATTGCGCAAAAAATGATATCGATTAAAAGATCATTAATGAAGAAGATTAGCAGAGGTTCACAGAAGAATATTTCTTTTATTCTATCAGATTTCTTTAAAATAAGAATTTTGCATTTATACAGTTATAATAACACAAATTTGCAAAAAGTTTTTGAAACTATTTTTATCGTATAAGTCTATTTTAATATTTAAACTTTATTATTTTAAATAAAATACATCAGACTTTGAGTTAAATGAATCAATGTTAGAAATTTGAAATATATCACGTATAGGAAATATGTAAGTGAGCACATCGTAAATGGCAATTTCTACTTATCATAGAGATAATCATTTCGTTAATATTAATAATTATTTAAGAGAAAAAGTAGGTATCTGTATTGATTGTCAGAATTGAATAATCATGAAAGTGTATTATCGATAAATGGTGTACATGAGATAAATATAATAGTCTCATAGATTTGTTAGCCTTCAGATGAATGCTAGAAAATGTGTTCAGCAGACGTTAAACAAAGGAATATCATTCACTTTTAATGATTGAAATTTATTGGATGTTTTTTTATAATAAATTGAAGGAAGGTATAGCGAAATTGAGCTAAACCAAGTAAATCCTAGTGCTTTATCTAGGTTAGATTTTTCGGCTGTGCAGTTTGAATTTTGATAGTGATTGCCGGCTAAAAGTTTTTTTTGAACTATAGTAAATGTAGTTTATTTTCAAATAGCAGCAGCTCATCTAATAGATGAATCACTGGCAAATCTTAGAATGAATTAATAAAAATATATTAAAGTGTATGCGAATTTATTAAATATCAATGTACATCAGAGTGCTCAATACCTATTGTGCAGTCAACTCTGTGAATAATAAATAGTTTGAGAAATTATAAGTGAAGAGTTTTTAATAGAATCTTTGAGATTTTGGAGTTTCATTTGAGGTACTTTGTTTATTTTCCATTATAGGTACCTTGAAACGAAAGTGAACAATCGTTAATTCTTCAAACGGATTTGCTAACAAGTTTTGCTATAGGCGCACTATAATAAAAAATACAAAAATTCGCTTTTTCTTTAGTAATGGATGTTTTTTTTGAATAAGTATTTTATAACGCTTCAAAACTTCTTCTGTACTTTGCTCCATAAAGAACGTCTTATTCAAATTTATTACAGGAATATTATTGCAGAACTCTGTTACGAAACTTTTTTCCTTTCGTAAGATGTTATAGTATTATTCCAGCAACATCAACATTTTCTGAATTACTTTTTTCTGTCACTGACTATATTCACCGAAAACAGCGATGTTCTCTATGATCAAATACACTCAGATATCTGTCGTTGTTAAAAAAATGGAAATTATCTTTCATGAGAGAAAGAAAAGAAAAATAGAATGACTGAAACTTTTCATTGATAGTAACATAGGTCGTTTAAATAACATCTAAATAAAAATTTAACATACAAAGTTCAATACTTCGTGAAGTGGTCTTACAATAAGCCATGATATTTTTTTTTGTTCGAGAATATTTTCATATGATTTTCAAATGAAATTCCTTTTTTTTCGAAAATGCTCTAAGAAAACTTGAATCTATACACAGAAGTAGAAGATAACACAAATTAGGATTCGCCAATCGAATCGTTTTCATAGATCAATTTTAGATTGACCAACTTGCTTTTTTTGCAGTAGGTTGGATAGGATGCACAGGTCAATTTCTTATATCCATATTTTGCTGAAGAGTTTTGTTTTCTTACCTAAAGAATTCGATATTGAGACTATACCCTCATAGAATCGATATTCTTCAATAAATATCTTTTGTGAGCTTCTTCCAATAATCTAATACTTTATTTCACAGAAACTTCTTGAACTAAATACGTATATAGAAAGTTAGTTTGAGCTTCGTGCTCTTCCTACCGTAAGGTAAACAAGTTGTTCTGTAGATAATTGCTATTTGGAAACGATTCGATTTCCAAAATGTGGTTTGCCCTTTCTTTTATTTATGCATATGGATTTTGATTTTTTCTAAACATCTCCAAGGACCAGTTATTGAATTTGAAGTTCGTATGAACATTTTCAGAGGTAAAAAGTTATTTTATACTATTATTAAACTAGTTCACATTCTATTCAAATTATTATAGTAGATTTTCATCAGATATACTATAGAGAATAAATGTATCACTGGTAAATAGTGCCTGCCAACAAAAACTTTTTTCCATGCAGATATACTTGAAATTAAATCATACGAAAAATTATGTTTATTACAGCTTATGTGTGAGTATTATTTTTTGATTTTTGTTTTCGTTGCCTTATTTGGTGTCTTCTCTCCATTTTTCTGCGTACTCATCATTAGGATTTTTCCAGTAACTGGAAAAAAATGCATTGCTTCTTGTGAAAATAAAACCATCTATTTGATACTTATTTGAAAATAATCGTTCTATAACTTCTATTGACCTAATGTTTTGAGGGAGATAGTAAAATATTGACTATTTTGGGCAAGATTTTATATAATTAAAAGTGAAATTCAAAATTATAAGGAAATTCTATTTAGAAATATGAAGAGTGTGTGATAATCGATTCAAATGAAACATTCTATGATCCTGAAATAAAGCTTCACAGAGACGTCTGAATTTATCAAGCCTTTGATCACATTAGAATGTTATAAGAAAGTTTTCCTCTTACTACCTTAAAAAACCAGAAACAAAAGCTTTCATTTCTATTATTTTTGAATTTCATATTAGAAAGCGTATTCTTAATCAAATTACGTTTTAAATGGTAATAATCTCTCTATAGATTTATTCCATGATTCTTGTGCTCTTCCAATTATATTATCTGTCGTTAAAAGTATCATTTATTCTTTTGTTTTTTTAAAGATAAATGAGTGATTTACATTTATTTTTTAAAAATAAATGATCATTTATCTTTATTTTATAAAGTAAATGTAAAGTACCACTCATAACGTTAAGTGAACCACTTAATTAAGTTCATTAATTAAATCTCGTTAAAAAAATGTTCCAATCCTACAGAGAAGTATCTAAGTTTTTTAGTTCCTTAATCAATCTTGAATAAAAAAGAATCTAATTTCAGCTGCTTCCACTTGTTATTTATACGATATTTATATTAGAAGCAAAATTTTATTGATTCTATAATAAAGTTTCTATTCAAAATAGACTAAACCACCATTTGTTATCTCTGTTACGATAGACCATTTTCTTGTCTGTTCACGTCTATTGTACATAAGGAGATATGAATGAATCATATTCTTTGTCTTTAAGAAAATTAAAGAAAACAAAATAAATAAACTATATATACGCACGTGTGCAATCCAATTAATAGTCTTATACAAGAGAAAGAAAAATGGTATGCACGTAAAAGTTTTCATTCACTTTATCCTCACAGAATTAAGGAAAACATTTATTTTTCATTTTTAATAAGGTTTATTAAGAATTTTTTTTTAAATTGATATTATTTCAATTTAGAAGGTTTATGATCGTTTAGTTAATCACATTGATAAAATACCATACTGTATTAGATTACTATGGCTTATATGTAATCTAGGATTTATGATATTTATGCTTGGCGTCGATAAACTGATATCAATCTCAAGTAAACTTCCAAGAGTTATAAATTTACAGAATCGACACAATCGTGCAAGAAGATTTGTGATACAATACAAGGCATTGGGTTGAATACTTTGTTTCATCGGAATATTTATGTTTGGGCTTATAATTGTTATCGTTGTAGATTCATTATGGAATTTTCCAACTTGCTGGGTGTTAGGTGGATTATTACAGTCAAGCACAGAAAAAAATAGCCAGTTATTTACTGAATATCAAATTAACTTCTCCAGAAGTGAAAACAGATTTAGGTTCTTATAATATGTTATATAATATCGTATATACAGTAGCATTAATTTTAAGGGTGTGGGTGGGTGGTGTGAGTGTGGGTGTGGAGTGTCGATGTGGATGAGGATATAAGCACAGTATTCCCTCTAACCCACACCTACACCCGCACTACACCCACACCCTCTACATTTAATGAAGAAGTTCACTCGCTAATCGGCCGATCTTGGTTGACATTTCGTTACAGTTCTCGAAAAAATTTCACAATAATATATGACTTGAAACGGCTGCAAATTGAACAAGCAGAGCAAGCAACTGCATTCGTTGATTCGTGTAAAATGATCTAACATATTCCATGGGAAGGGTTGACTTATATAGAACAAGTACCCGAGAATACTGAGACTGAAGATATATTCTGAAACTAGGGAACA